AATCGATTCTTCAAACTTAAAACCCTTCATACAATCTTCACAGTTGGCTTTTAATTGGAGATGTCCGGGAAGCTACAACTAATTAACTCTCTCGAAATAAATCAAAGTTTGTTTGATTGGTTTATAAATTATAAATGAAATCATACTATTACTTATACAACTTTCAATTTTAGGGGATGGTAGTGATCGATGTAATCATACGGTTGTCAATAACTCTCTATATTATTCCATGAAAGTTCTATGTACATCCTAAAACTTAACTACAATAAACAGGTTTCAAAACAGTTTGTAATAATTTCTATAACTTTCTAAGAACTTCATGCTTTCGTCACTTTCTTTTGTGCTAGTTATATTGTTCATGGGTTGAAATTGACTACCAATGATGTTAATTTTTTTTATTAATTTATAAATCATTTTTGTTGATGAGTGAATACATTAATGTTGTGTTGATCAATCAATACTATAACATTAATTTTGGTCAGTTAACACAACCAAAAAAAATAAATTAAGTCAACATTGGCCAGTAGTCAAAATTTGTAATTTGAAATTAAATTAAGATTTCAAATAATAAATTGGATTTAAAGGGGCAAGAGTAATTTTATCATAAAAATCATGATTGCTTTTAATTGTATTTGTAAAACATAAAAAATGGATGAAATTAATTCAATTGTAAAGATTTTTTATGAGATTACCCCTTAGAGAAAAAAATGAAAAGAACAAGTCCATTATGCAGCGTTTGGATTGAGGTATTTTAAATAAATGAATTTGATCTTACTCCAAATACGATCTCTTAAGTATGCGAATATTTCTTTGTGAGTGCGGACTATAAAGCATGGCATACCGAGATATCTCTTAAGTACGCGAAAATCTCTTTGCGAGTGCGGCCTATAGAGCATGGCATACCGAGATATCTCTCGTGGCGATCAACCACCTTGAACCCTAAGATATTGCTAATCAGATTGCGGCGTAGTAGGAATAAAAACCATCGTTGATTTATCGATATTGATTTCTTGTCCTGATGTTCGGGCAACTTCTCAAGGATAAATCTTAGAGAGCGGACGTTCAATTCTGAGGCACCAGATCACAAAAGAATAATGTGTCATCTGCGAAGCATAAGTGTGAAATGGAGGGAGCCGTCGGTGCAATTTGAATCCCATGAAGTCCTCCACAGTAACAACTTTTTTTGCTAGGGTTATAAGTGCTTCCGTACAATAGATAAAGGGGTAAGGAGACAATGGATCCCCTTGTCGAAGACCCCTTGTCTGCGCCACCGAACCAAACTGAGAACCATTAAAGAGAAAAGCGTAAGAAACCGAAGATACGCAAAACATGATTAGCTCAATAAATGAAGTGGGTAAATCGAAACGAGCAAGAATTTTCTGAATAAACAACCATTCAATTCTATCGTAAGCTTTACTAATATCTAATTTGATAGCCATATAATTCTTGCAGTTATTCAAGTTTGTCTTAATAAAGTGGTTCACTTCAAATGCAACAAGCACATTATCGGTAATAAGGCGTTTGGGGACGAATGCTGATTGGGTTGGAGAAACTAACTCATTAAGGACCAATTTAAGTCTATTAGCAATAACCTTAGACCCAAATTTGTAGATGACATTACAAAGGCTATTGGTTCTAAATTCAGTAATACGCTCTGGTTGCCGCACTTTCAGAATTAAAACAATATAAGTAAAGTTGAAACGAGGAGGAAGAAATTTATTGTTAAGAAATTTAATAATACAAGAAATCGCATGCGAACCCAAGATATGCCAAAATTTGGTGTAAAATGTGACAGGTAAACCATCCGGACCAGGGAATTTGAAAGGGGTCATTTGGGAAATGGCCCGATTTACCTCATCTGCAGTGAAGGGACAGGAAATGATGTGACCAGCCGCGCTAGAAATCCTTGGTTCAATACATTGCATCACCTCATCTATTCCCTCATCTATAGGACTCGTCGTTTGAAAAATGTGACTGAAGTAATCCGAAATAATCCTCTCAATATCCTTCGTTTTGTTTCTCCACTCACCCGAACTATCCTTGATTCGGTCTACATGGTTGGCGCGATGTCTCTCGGTAGCTTTCGCGTGAAAAAAACATGTATTACGGTCTCCATCTCTCATCCATTGCGCCCGACTCCATTGTCTCCAATACATATCATTATCGGTATCCAATTGCTCCAACTCCGTTCTCAAATTCAGTTTCCTCTTTGCTGATCTTGGTTTGGGGTCCAATATGGAGGGAGTGAAGTTTCTTGTGTATCTCTTCGATGCGCCGTTGTGGTGATGTTACGTCTAAGGCGGGAAAGAAGGTTTTGATTAAGTCAGTTTTACAATCAATTCCCACCTATATAATGAGTTGTTTTTTGCTTCCAATTGGGTTACTACAAGAAATTGAATCAGCTATCCGAAGGTAATGGTGGGGGAATGGGCGAAACAAGGGTATAGCATGGTTAGCGTGGCATAAGTTGTGCTTGCCGAAAGAAGATGGTGGAATTGACTTTAGGGAAATGAAATGCTTTAATCTCGCGCTGTTAGCAAATCAAGGATGGCGACTTGCCTATCAACCTGACCTGCTGCTTACTCAAGTCCTAAAGGCCAAATATTTTCCTATAGGTGATTTTTTCTCGGCTGACGTGGGCATCCGTCCATCAGCCACGTGGAGGAGCATCTTGGCAGCACGACAACAACTCAAAATGGGTGGTCGGTTTAGAATTGGTGGTGGCTCCACGACGTCTATCTGGGGAGATCAGTGGATCACGAAATATGGAAACTTCAAGGTGATTACCAAGAGGCCGATTGACAGTTCTTTCCCGGATTCTGTGGCGGACATCATTGACCCTCTCACCCACTCGTGGAATATTCCCCTTATCGAACAACTTTTTTGGCCAATTGACCGTGCGCGAATCTTCTCGGTCACCATCGGAGGGCCCAATACTCTTGACCGTCTAATTTGGCACTACTCACCGAAAGGAAACTTCACCATAAAATCTTGCTACAAACTCAATTTGGCGATTTTAAGTGCTAGAAACAGAAATGCAAATCGAGAAGGCCAGGTTTCAAACATGCATGAGTCCTCTCTTGAATCCACGATTTGGCATAGTAAATTACCTCAGAAAGTGCGAGTATTTCTATGGCGCGCGAGACAAAATATAATTCCGACAGCTATTGAACTTTTCCGGCGTAAGATAGGGACGTCCCCTTCTTGCTTGAGATGTGGAGCGATCGAGACTTTCATGCATGCGATTATAGAATGCGAATATATTAAGGATGTATGGCAGAGCTATCCATTTCAGACCTTGTGTTCGGGTCCCTCTCAAAATTTTGAGTGCTGGCTAAATCATATGGAAAACACTCTACAAGAAGAGCAACTACTGTTGGGTCTCATTGTCTGTTGGAAGCTTTGGGATTAGAGATGGCAATTTGACCCGCCCCGACGGATCCCCGCCTCGAAAAAAAATGGGCCGGGTATGGGGATTGAAATTTTTTTTTGACCGGGTACGAGTACGGGGATGGGTTTGCCTATACCCGCCCCGTATCCGTCCCTGTACCCGCCCCCCATTATTTATATATATAATATATATTTTTTAATTATTATATTAAATATAAATAATTAAAGAGTAATGATATATTAAATATTAGTTAAAAATGGGGATTTTAGGTTTCCATTATATAATTAAATATTAGTATTATAATTAAATATTGATTTATTTGTTGAAATAAACCTTTTAAGTAAATTGCATATTTATTTATTAAAAAAAAAGAAAATAAAATAGACGGGGATTTTTACCCGCCCCGATACCCGTGGGGATTTTATGGGGCGGGTATGGGGATTCTTTTAATACCCGTGGGGATTTTTGACGGGATGGGGATAGGAATTTCCATAGCGGGGCGGGGATAGGGATTGCAAAACCCGCCCCATTGCCATCCCTATTTGGGATGTGCGCAATCAGACTTTGCATGGCGAAGAAACGACGGCCAAGGAAAATATTATCAAGTGGTGTGTAGATTATCTCAACCTGTTGAAACAAGCGAATACCATTCTGCACAATAGCCATCGTCCATCACACCCATCCACGTGGCTACCTCCGACGCAAGGCTTTATCAAACTCAACGTGGACGCGGCATTTCCGGTGGGTAAGGATTTCTTTGTTACTGTTTCGGTTGCTCGCAATTGGCTTGGTGAATGTGTATGGTGGTCGGTAGAAACATGCATAGGTCGACCTTTGCCAGTCCATGGTGAAGCAAAAGCGGTGCTTCAAGCGTTAAAGTTAGCTCGAAGTAAAGGATGGGAATCAATTATTATCGAAGGCGATTACTTACTACTATTGGAAGCACTTAGAGAGCAGGATCACAGTCATGTATCATTTGGTGCCTTGATAGAAGAGACTTTGAGTCTGGCTAATATTTTTCGTCATGTTTTGTTTCAATTTATTAAACGAGCTGGAAATAGTCTAGCTCATGCTTTAACTAAATTGTATGATAACTCCTGCTTGGAAGGGACTGATCTTCCCCCAAAGTTGGCACAGTTTGCCTAATAATATGGTTATTTCATTTAAAAAAAAAAATGAATTTGAAATGAATTCAGATGGAAAGAATTTGAAATGACTTAAATTATAATAGATTTAAAATCCATCAAGATGTCTAACAAATAAAAACGAGGGCGATGAATTTGAAATCAATTGTCAAATGACTCGATCCAAACAACATCAACGGATTTATTATTATGGATTCTAAACTAAACTGTTCTCTCAAATCCTTCCATCAAAATGCTCGTTAGAGAATTTCGTTTACTTGCATTTTAATTTTCGCAACCGATAAATTTTTAAATAAATGGCTTGGCCTTTTCCTATTTTAATTTCTTTTTTATTATTATTATTACTAGCAATTAATTGTATTGGAGAAATTTTAAAAACTTAAAATGTTGCATTGACTCTTAAATTGTTATTAATATATTAAATAATTTGACTAAAAAAAAAAGGAAAATGGACGGGTTGCAAATAGCCAAATATTGAAAGGGGAGAAGCAAAAAAATTGCATCAAGATCCAATACAGATCATAAATTTGAATACCACGCGCTAACCCATCAGCGCCAATTCAGGCATTCACACACGAATTTTCACAAGCAAAATAAAAAAAGAAACAAGAAAAAATCAATTTCACACTCATTTTCACTAAACCCTAGCCTTACCGAATCCGAATTCTGATCGACCGCAGGTACGTTTATCTCTGCGCAATTTCACACGATTTGCACCGGCGTTCTGTACATTCCGCTCGCTGTAGATTTATTCATCTGAATTTCCGTATGTAATGCTAGATCTGGATTGTATCTTCTGTTGTTTGCACACTCGCGCACACACACACACACACACTGGTATTGATTTTTAGGATCTTTTGGCATATATGATTGTGGGATCATTCTGTGCGATGGTGATCATATAAAAAGGTTATCTTGATTCTTGAGGAGTGTAATTAGATTGTTTTCGGCGTACCGATTGCGAGATCATTATTATCTTTCGGAGTATAAATTCGAGTTTTTTGGCGTACGATTGCTATGTATCTTATTTTAATGTAACAGTCCAGCATAGTTTCGACACTGTATTGCTATTGTATGTGTCTGTAAACTGTTGAGACGTTAATTAGTTAAACGATTGCAATGTGCGTCCTGTTTTAACGTAACGGGCGGGGATAGTTAACTTTTGGAAGAACGGTATTTAATTAGTTAATTAACTTTTTTTCTAAAAACAGTTCCCATGCCGGTTTCTGAGGTGTTTCTTCTCCAGTCGTAAAGGTAATTTGGAAAGAAGGTTAATCGAAATGTTAACGGTGAATTATATAGCCTTGATTAATTATTTTAGCAACTGTTCTTAAGGATATCATTTTGCTTATGGTGCTTGTAAATCCTTGTGTTTTCTCATTAGATTGTGATTTGGTTTCTAATTTTGGTGCCGCGTCAGTTATTTAAACTCTAATGGATGTAGTTTTTGCTGTTTGTTCATTACATGTTGGTACTTGGTAAAGATATAGATACATTCATCCATATCCCTCTGCACATGCATAAATCATGTGGATATATATAGATACATATATTTGGACGCATATATAACCTTATGATTCGTTCGCATGTGGACGGAGATATGTTTATATTCTAACAAAGTTATTAATGTCGAACATGGTATCAACTCTACTGTGTCTATATCTATCGTAAGTCTACACAATATTTTATCGACTGATTCTAATGAATTTTCCATTTGCAGACTTCATTGTTTTTTCAAATGCCATCAGTTTGTAGGGTTCAGCACGTTTGACGGCAATTTCTCTCCGTTCCTTTTTTTAACAAATGGCGTTGCCTCTGATGTCGAAAAGGAAATTACATGCTGCTCTTATATTATTGGTCCAAATATTGCAAGTCTGTAATGGCTTTTATCTGCCTGGAAGCTATATGCACACATACTCAACTGGAGACGAAATATACGCCAAAGTCAACTCTTTAACCTCCATCGAAACCGAGCTTCCATTCAGCTATTACAGCCTTCCTTATTGCCAGCCTATGGGTGGCATAAAAAAAAGCGCCGAAAATCTCGGTGAGCTACTTATGGGAGACCAAATCGACAACTCTCCATACCGTTTCCGAATGAATGTGAACGAGACTGTATTCCTATGCACAACTCCCCCACTGAACGAGGAGCAGGTCAAACTCTTAAAACAGAGAACACGTGACATGTACCAAGTCAACATGGTTCTTGATAATTTGCCTGCTATGAGGTTTACAAACCAAAACGGGGTTAAAATACAGTGGACCGGTTACCCAATTGGATACAATCCCGAAAACAGCAACGATGATTACTTTATCAATCATCTCAGGTTTAGGGTTTTGATCCACGAGTACGAAGGAGTTGGTGTGGAGATAATCGGAACCGGAGAAGAAGGCATGGGCGTAATTTCCGAAGCCGAGAATAAAAAGGGATTAGGGTACGAGATTGTCGGATTCGAGGTAGTACCTTGTAGCGTAAAATACGATCCAGACAAGATGGCAAAAATCCACATGTACGACAACATAACATCGGTGAGCTGTCCGCACGAGCTCGACAAGTCCCAGGTTATAAAGGAGCAGGAGAGAGTGTCGTTCACTTACGAGGTCGAATTCGTAAAATCCGACATACGGTGGCCCTCTCGGTGGGACGCTTATCTCAAGATGGAAGGCGACCGAGTCCACTGGTTCTCGATTCTCAATTCTTTAATGGTGATTTTCTTTTTGGCGGGAATCGTTTTCGTCATATTCTTACGAACGGTGAGAAGGGATCTCACGAGGTACGAGGAGTTGGATAAAGAAGCTCAAGCCCAGATGAACGAAGAACTTTCCGGATGGAAGCTTGTGGTTGGAGATGTCTTTAGAGAACCTTCTAACTCGAAATTACTTTGTGTGATGGTTGGAGATGGGGTTCAAATTACCGGAATGGCGGTTGTCACTATTGTTTTCGCCGCCCTCGGTTTTATGTCGCCCGCTTCTCGAGGCATGTTGCTGACTGGGATGATATTGTTGTATCTATTCCTCGGAATCGCCGCTGGTTATATAGGTGTAAGAATGTGGAGGACTATTAAAGGCTCGTCCGAGGGTTGGAGATCGGTTTCTTGGTCTATTGCGTGTTTTTTTCCAGGGATTGTTTTCGTTATCCTAACTTTCTTGAATTTCATTCTATGGGGAAGTAAGAGTACCGGAGCGATTCCGATTTCGTTGTATTTCATACTTCTGTCTCTCTGGTTCTGTATTTCGGTACCACTCACCCTCTTGGGGGGGCATTTAGGGACAAGAGCCGAGCCTATTCAATTCCCTGTAAGAACGAATCAGATCCCTCGAGAAATCCCTTCCCGAAAATACCCCTCGTGGCTTCTTGTTCTTGGTGCGGGGACTCTTCCATTCGGGACCCTTTTTATCGAGCTCTTCTTCATCTTATCGAGCATTTGGCTCGGAAGATTCTATTACGTGTTTGGTTTTCTTCTCATTGTCCTTACGTTGTTGGTGGTTGTCTGTGCTGAGGTTTCGGTTGTCCTGACTTACATGCATCTGTGTGTGGAGGATTGGATGTGGTGGTGGAAGGCGTTTTTTGCATCGGGTTCGGTTTCTCTTTACGTGTTCTTGTATTCGATCAATTATTTGGTCTTTGATCTGCAGAGTTTGAGCGGCCCTATTTCTGCTACGCTTTACATCGGGTATTCTTTGATAATGGCGATTGCTATCATGCTTTCTACTGGCACGATTGGATTGCTTACGTCGTTCTACTTTGTTCACTACCTTTTCTCGTCGGTGAAAATTGATTGAAGTGGCGTAGCGTAATCTCGATTTTTTCGGAGCTTTTTTTTTTCTTTCTAAGCACATTTATTTATTTATTCATAGGGATGTTTTTACCAATGTTTCTTGATACTAGATACTTCTCTAGTAACTTCTGTTTCAATATAATTGTGTCCTGAAAGGTTCTTCCTTTTATTTATGTCCTTATGGTTAATTTTCTAATAATATTTACTAGTTCATGCAAATCATTTCGGAGGATAGATATACATTAAAGGTGTAATAAATGGGTTAAATTGATAAAAAAAAATGGTAACTAAACCATTCAATAATATCGTAAATCCCAAAACATAGATTAAAGTGTAGGGTTGTAAATCGGACGAGTACGAGCTGAAATCTCTTTAGTCGAAAGTTTTAGGGCTCAAGTCCAAGCTCATCGGAGAGTCTCGCAAGGATTCGATCACCTAAATAAGTTTGATTTTTGAATTTAGTATTACAATTAATACTTTATCATATTTTTATATAAAAAAAAAATTAATAAGTATAATTAATTCTAAGTATTATTATGTATGTTAAACATAATTTCTTAAATATCTTAACACTCTTATCATTTGAATTGTAAGTATCCTTGATAATATTGTTATGTATACTTCATTAATATATATATATATATATAAAAGAAACTCACGAGCCAGCTTATGAACTTTCTAAGAATAAAAATTGAGCTCCACCTCGTGATTTCGAGGTCATATTTCTCTGAGTCGACTATGCTCATTTACATCCCAAATCTTCAATTTCTTCCGATGGTTCTTGAAATACTAGTTTAATAACATGGTTTATCTTGAGCAACTAGACTTGTAGATACACATACCCGACCAGATACTCCGACGCGCAAGTTAGTCGGGAAAGACAGTTCAAGAAAGAGTAAGATAAAGCTGGAAAATGAAAAGATAGAAGACGTTATAATGTGATAGAGAAAAAAAAAACGTGAATTGTGTATGTTTGCAATGTTTATATACATGGATGTCCTCCAATGAAATAGAACTCCTCCAAGTCGAGCCGTGTTGTCGAGCCGAGCCGAAGCTAGCGGAGATAAGCCATTCGCTTGAACCCATCAAACACGGGTGATTTTGCAGTATAGATCTAAACAACTAACCATCCATAGAACACAAAAACACATGGATGTTTGTATGCAGTTATGTGTAGACTCATAGTGCAAAATTGATAAGAATATGAATAGTCATGATATAATAAATTTCTATACATATCAATCCGATTACAGAGGTCAATATATAGGAGTATACAAACTCTATTCTAGAGAGAATATTGACTAGCATATTTTATCCTAAATTCAAGGGAAATATATAAGAATAATATACAGTAATTATCGGTTGATAATTATACATAAATGGGCACTAATTACGGGATTTGTTCCAACACTCCCCCTCAAGTTGGCGAGTGAATATCATGAAGTCCCAACTTGTCTCTTAAATAATGAAATTGCTCACTTCCTAGAGGCTTGGTGAAAATGTCTGCAAGTTGTGAACGTGATGGAAATGAAGTCGATATGACTCCAGTTTGTAGCTTTTCTCGCACAGTATGACAATCAATCTCTATGTGCTTAGTTCGCTCATGGAACACGGGATTTTTAGCAATATAGATAGCTGCTTGATTGTCACAAAATAGAGTCGTTGGCTGATTTTGTACGATCTTAAGGTCTTGCAAAATGTATCGTATCCATGTGATCTCCAAACACGTTGTAGCCATAGCTCGATATTCTGCTTCAGCGGATGATCGGGCCACGTTAGTCTGCTTCTTTGATTTCCAAGAAATTAATGAGTTACCTAAAAATACACAATATCCTGAAATAGATCGTCGAGTCACTGTGCACCCTGCCCAATCCGAATCACAATAGGCCTTCAACGTTAGGTCGTTAGATGATGAAAAAAGTAATCCTTGACCACGATTGCCTTTAATGAATCTCACCACCCTTAAAGCAACTTCCCAGTGAGGTTTTCGTGGATTTTGCATAAATTGACTAAGAATTTGTACGGAGTACAATATATCAGGCCTTGTTACTGTAAGGTAAATCAATTTTCCGACAAGCCTTCTATACTTGGTAGGATCAAGTAGTAATTCACCATCATCAGGCTTCAACTTCAAATGTTCTTCCATTGGAAATGATTGAGGACGAGATCCCAATAACCCAGTATCCTTCAAAACATCCAGTGCATATTTCCTTTGAGAAATAAAGATTCCTTTTTGGGATCGAGAGACTTCTATGCCAAGAAAATACTTTAGGTTACCAAGATCCTTGATGCGGAATTGTCGAAGGAGGAACTCTTTGAGGGACTTAATAGCATGCTCGTTATTTCCAGTGACAATAATGTCATCAACATAGATAAGGACATCAGTAAATAAACTTCCTTGAGATTTTGTGAATAAGGAATAATCGGCCTTTGATTGCTTGAATCCGGCTCTTTGGATGGCATTTGAGAATTTTGCAAACCAGTTACGTGAAGCCTGTTTTAATCCATAGATGGATTTATTGAGCCGACATACAATATTCTCCCCCTGTCGGTGAAGACCAGGAAGAACCTCCATATATACCTCTTCATCTAGATCGCCATGGAGAAACGCATTTTGAACATCCATTTGATGAAGAAACCAGTTACGTGACGCGGCAATGGATAAAAGGCACCTCATGGTAGTGAGTTTAGCTGTAGGAGAAAAAGTTTCCAAGTAATCCATCCCCTCAATTTGTGTATAGCCTTTAGCAACAAGTCGAGCTTTGTATCGTTCAATCGAGCCATCAGAGTTGTATTTGATCTTATAGACCCATTTACAACCAATCGGCCGATGTCCAGGAGGTAACGGGACAAGTTTCCAAGTGTTGTTATGAGTAAGAGCATCAAGTTCAGATTGCATAGCATCTTTCCATTTTGGATCGAGAATTGCCTGAGAATAGTTAGTGGGCTCACGGTGGCTAGAAATAGTTGCAAGAAAAGAAATTTGAGATGGAGAAATGCGTGAATAAGATAAAGAACGAGAGAGAGGGTGTCTTGTACCTCGATGAAGACCAGGCAACGGAAATGACGATTGGTGGGGTTTTGCTTGAGCGAAGTTCATAGAGTAATCTGCATGCCAAGCGGGGCGAGTGCGAGAACGATCTGACAGACGAGTTATGGGTGTAGGGTGTGACTCAACGAGGGGTGATTCTACTGGTTCAGTATTAGGAGTAGACGACTCAGGTAGTTGAACGATTGGAGAAGTCGATTCATTGGAACTAGGAATATCAGTAGTAATGGATAATTTATTATCAAGGATTGTAGGTGTGGGGACTGTGTTTAATGGATAAAGATGGGGAATCACTAGGGTTGGGTAATGGTAGGAGGTTTGTTTGGAAAGGAAATATATGCTCATGGAATTTGACATCTCGGCTGACAAAAAATTTCTTGGTTTCTAAGTCAAATAATTTATAACCTTTTTGACCGGTAGGGTATCCAACAAAAGTACAACGATTCGCACGGGGTTCAAACTTGGTGATAGGGTGAACAACAGTGGCATAACACAGGCAACCAAAAACACGAAGATGTTCATACGATGGTGAACGATGATATAAACGTTCATATGGGGTAACATTAGACAGAAGTGACGTTGGTAAACGATTAATTAAATAGACAGCGGTTTGTACGCATTCCCCCCAAAAAGTAATAGGTAAATGAGATTGAAAGAGAAGAGCTCTAGCAACTTGTAAAATAAGACGATGCTTGCGCTCGACGACTCCATTTTGTTGTGGAGTGTAAACACAAGAACGTTGAAATTCAATTCCTTTTGTGAGAAAAAAATTGCATAAGGAAGTGAATTCTTTGCCATTATCGCTACGAATCCTTTTGATTTTAGATTTAAATTGAGTTTCAATAAATGTAAAGAAAGACATGAGCAAGGTAGAAACATCAGATTTTGATGTCATTAAAAATACCCATGTGCATCGAGTAAAATCATCGACAATTGTTAAAAAATAATGTGCGCCTGCATGTGTTGAAAATTTATGTGGACCCCAAATATCGCAATGAATTAATTCAAAAGGTAAATTTGAAGAAATTTTACTTGAGGGGAAAGGAAAACATGTTTGTTTAGCAAGGGGACAAATATCACAAGTACTATTGGAGGATGTATTATAAGATAAAAGAGACTTAGACACTAGACGCAGACATGCAGAAGATGGATGACCAAGGCGATTGTGCCATATATGGCTGTTGGTGTGGGCATGGTACACGGCAGGTGAATTTGAGGTTGGTGTCATGAAGTAAAGGCCTCCGCGTTGCTTACCCCAACCAATCATCTTCCCCGTATCCAAGTCCTACAAGACACAATGATTTGGATATAGAAGAGCGCAACAGTTCAAAGACTTAGTAATCTTACTAGCAGATATTAAATTTAATTGAAAAGAAGGCACGTGGAGTACATTTTCTAAAACAATGTCCTTATTAAATAAAATTGTGCCAGTGGAGGTAATTGGGGCAGTAGTGCCAGTAGGTAAATTGACATGGGGTATTTTTGTTTTATCTGTTTGAATAAGTAAATCGGAGTTAGAAGTGATATGATCCGTGGCTCCACTATCTAAAATCCAACAATGCGTCGAAACAGAATCAAGAGAGGGAGAATTATCCAGACCTGCGGCGTTGGCATATACATCACTCTTACTCTTAGACATGGTGGCCATGGCAGCGGTTAATTGTTGAATCTGATCATTGGATAAGTCTGGGCAGATCGCTTTCAAATTTGAGCCAAGAGAAGGGTGAACATTGGTACTTTCTTTTGGATGGACCACCATATTATCCATGTTAAAAGGCGTAGCTGTAGTAGCATGTGCAGCGGAATAGGTTTGGCCTTGAATTTGATGGCCCGGTAATTTAGCACGCCTTGATTTGTATTGAGGATCGTATTTCGGTTTGAAACTTGGACCATGTCTCGGGTGTCCAGGTGGAAATCCATGGAGTTTATGACATGTACCAATAACATGACCATCCTTTTTGCAATAATGACAAAAGAAATCTTCAGATTTTGAAAATGAATTACCAGCAGATTTTTGAGTTATTTTGGAAGTCCTTAGAGCTGCTGCCACAGAAAAATTATCGGTGAGAGAACCACTTCCAACCTCTCGTTGTTTCTCCTCTTGAGTCACCATATTATATGCTTCTCGGATGTCCGGGACTGGTTTCAAGAGTAGTATTTGGCCTCGAACAGCCTTGTATGAATCGTTGAGTCCCATAAGAAATTGCATTAATCGATCTTCTTTATGATATGCATCTCGATTCTTCTTTTCATCACATTTACAACAATCACATGAGGAAGGGGGGCGATAGGAATCGAGTTCATCCCAATATCCACGCAATTTTGTAAACTAATTTGCCACTGTCATACTTCCTTGGACATGAGATGCGATGGACTGTTTTATTTCAAAAATTCGTGGAAGATTACCTTGGGAGAAACGAGCCCGAAAATCTTCCCAAATATGTTGGGCAGTAGGAGCAAAAAGAACATTTGGAACAAGATCTGGTGAAACAGAGTGTGAGAACCACGAAATCAACATATGATTTGCACGTTCCCATAAGATATATTCTTCGGGATGTGTATTTTTGGAGGGTTTCTTAAATCTTCCATCGATGAAACCCAATTTATTTCGGACCGAAAGGGCGACCTCGACGGACTTGCTCCACGTAGCCCAATTATCGCCATTAAGTAATTGAGATGAAAGTGAGATGGAAGAATTATCAGAATGGTGAAAATAGTAGCAATTGGATGGGTCAAGGGTGTCTGCTGATTTGGTAGGAGTTTTATTGTCTGCGGGATTTGTCATGTGGAATGGAGTAGATATAAAATAAGATTAAAATAATGTAATGAGAATTTGAATTGAATGGAAAGAAATAAGAGTGCGATAGCTTTTGTATAATGGTGAACTGATGGGGTTGGAAAAAATATTTTTATGAATATGTGGAATAGTGGTTCTGTGAAGGAATTATGATGAAGATATATAGAAGAGGGTCAGCGATGGTTTCTCCAGAGTCTAGAGAAGAAAATGATCGTTCTTAGGCTGATACCATGATAAGAATATGAATAGTCATGATATAATAAATTTCTGTACATATCAATCCGATTACAGAGGTCAATATATAGGAGTATACAAACTCTATTCTAGAGAGAATATTGACTAGCATATTTTATCCTAAAATCAAGGGAAATATATAAGGATAATATACAGTAATTATCGATTGATAATTATACATAAATTGGCACTAATTACGGGATTTGTTCCAACAAGAATCACCCGTTGCATTTCATCAAACGTAACATTTACAAAACTCAGATCAGTTGGGTGGGCCCCATGCAAATTAATAAATAATAATATCATAGAGGAGGGGTATGGGCCTTTTCCCCGCATCTTAAAAGTGGGGCCCATTTGTCAATGAATTTGGCCCATATTCAACTGACGGCGACGTTTTATCAAGCAGACATCCACGAGCATCCACGTACCGACTTTGTTGGACTCCATTAATATTGATTGACCAACTTACCCCCGAAATCCGAAACTCACCCCTCCTCACTCATTATTAAAACTCTCCTTAAAATAACTTCCAAAAAAAAATAATCAAGAGTACTAATCAAGTTCAATCAATAACTTTTTTCTTTCTTTTGTCTGTGAATTTAAAGGATTGTATAAATAAAAAAAAAATGAAAAAAATTGGAAATTTATTGCATTCGTATCCTAATTGAGGCTAATTAACCACGCCCGTGCTGACGTTCAAGTTGGACGTTCCCTACCTAACCACGTTTTTTATTTCTTTTTGTATAATTATTGGAAATGTAAAATTACTTTGTGTATATGCATTCGATAAACTCCTTTTCGAACAATTATATCTATTTCAATACGATAAATTTTTTGATGAGGTTATAAGTTCTTAAATATCTTATAAACTCTTTTTAACAGTTTATAAGCTTTGCCGAAAAAACTTCTTAGTCAGAATTGATTATAAGATCTTGTAAAATAGTTTATGTAATGCAGGGTTTGTATTTGTAGATGCTACACCTGATGAAATACACTAGATGATCTTGAACCGCTGATCTACACACACTTATGTGTACGTGTGTTTAGTATAATTATTTATACTATACTAAAATTGATTATAAGATCTTGTATAGTTTACGTGGTGCTGCTTTTTTAGATGCCACATCTGGTGAAATACACAGGATGATCTTGAACCACTGATCTATACACACTCATGTGTATGTATTTTTAGTGAGTAGTTATTTATATAGATCAACGGTTCAAAATCATCCAATGTGTACACCAGGTATAGCATATCATAGACATGTACTGCACTGAGCACCGATTACTATATTCTAATTTTATAAAAATATTGGAAATTGCTTAAGGGTAATTCTGTAATTAGATACAATGGCGATGTCATGAGAGGTGACTTTCAATCAGTTCAGACAAATAATAAAATATTCTTTGAATTATTGTATATACTTTATTTTTTTGATAAGTTTGAATTATTGTATATACACTTCAACCACTTTCAAAAAGCATTATGAAAAAGAAAAATATAATAAAATAAAAAATAAAAATAAAGCTCAACAGAGAATTGGAGAAAACACAGAACCCATACTTCCTCTCTCCCCTGAGATATATGATTTTTTAATTCCAGGAAAAAATATATATATTTATTATTATATTGACACACACACACACACACACAGAAGGTATATATCATGCATGTGCATGCGTGGCACTTGTCTGAATATATATATTATATAATCCACACATACACAACTTTTTTTTTTAAATTGTAGGAATTTAATTTTCATTTCAATCTTGGAAGATAAGCTTTTTAGCAGGTTTGCTTGTTTGACTCTCTTTCTTTCTTCTTTTCTGTATCATTATATGAATTTATGTTTGTATCTATATATGTATGTATGTATGTATAATGTATGTATACATTGTGCTTCAAGAATTTTCGATTTTGTTTCTGAAATTCAAATTCACTGCAGAATTGTCCGATTTTATTCGTTCAATTTTAGTTTGTTAATTGTTATTATTTTGAATGTTCTTCCATAAATTTATTGGCCGTTTCAATAAAAAAAATTAAAAATTAAAAAAAAAAAATCCATCTCGACAGTAGAATAAAGAGTAAAGACTTATTGTTGATCATTTTTAACAATGTTAATTTATTTATTTTTTCAGTGCATTGTTCAATTGAAGAAGTTCTGAGTTTAATACTAATTTGCTGCAGTTTTGGGGTGACTTCAATTATTTGTGGGATTATATAATAATCGAAAAATGAGAGGAGTTATTCGGGCCGTAAGGCAATTCAGACAAGCTTTTCGGGCTTACGATGGATCTGCAAAAAGAAAAGATTCTTGGTTCAAAATGAATAGCTGCTCTGTTTTCAGCTTAGAAAGAAATACGTACATTTCTCGATATCGACATCCGTCGTATACAATGTCCCGATCTATTTCGGCTGATGCAGCTAAAGTTCCTAATGGAGGTTGCTTTATGATTTTCAATTTATCGATTTTTTTTTAAGTTTATTAATAATTTGTATGCAATTATATAGCCTTATATAAGCATCGAGTTTATAACGATTTTTCACTCTTTTTTATACATTATTTTTTTCAGAAATAAATGGAGATGGACCTCTTATGGAATACGAGCGGAGAATTGCTGCCGGTGAACTTGTCGATGGAGATGCTTTCCAAGTTGGTTATTTTATTTAATTTTTATTAAGTTGGTTTTATTGCTTATATATTGAGACGATAATTTTAAGTTTTAAATTGTGATATTTGGTTAATGTAAATGCAATTGGAGTAGTACAATTTTTTCTAGTACCGATTGTACGAAGTACGAACCATATTGTTTTCCGAAAACCAATAACTAAAAGGGAAGAATCTTTTATTAATTCAAATTATCATATTCCATTTATTTTATTTATTTTCTTCCCTAAGAAGATGAATTAATTATGAATTTGCAGTTAGGTACATTAGGAGAGCTTCAAAGACTATACGATGAGCTCGTTGAAAACGCTAAAACTTGCCGTTTGGATAGATATGCCACTTCGGAGAAAGATGGGAGGTATTTCTTTGGCGCCACGAGTTTTCCTATTTTTTGCTCAATTTATCAATTTTCATTACTTTGTAGGGTATTTTGATAATATAATTTTTTTTTCGACACATATTTTTATTATTTGTCACTTTTGATATATTTTTTGTAGGAGTAGATGGTTGTGGTCTCGTTTCATCCCTCAAACTTCGCATGCAAAAGTAAAAGGGATTTATCTTTACGGAGGTGTAGGCACCGGCAAAACTATGTTGATGGATTTGTTTTTCGAACAATTGTAAGGATAAAAAAATAATAATTACAATCTCCTTTCAATAATTTAATCAAAAAAAAAAAAAAACGAGGCGTTATTTTGAATTGTTTTCTACATGTTTAATTTTCGAAGGCCTTGCAATTGGAGGAAGAAGAGGATACATTTCCACGACTTGATGCTAAATGTTCATAGCCGTTTGCAAGTATGAATCTCGTCTCGAAACAATTCAATTGAAATTTGCCGCAATTTATTAGAAAATGTGAAATTCGCGACAAATAAAATTGAAAAAAACAAAATATGATGTCGATATTTATTCGAATGCAGAGGCATAAGGGTGTGGCGGATCCTTTAGAAGCTGTTGCTGGAGAACTGTCCGATGAATCTATCTTGTTATGTCTCGACGAGTTCATGGTAATTCACAGCTGGCATTATTTTTTTTCTTTCGACAAATATTTTTACTACGATTTATAAAATAGTTTGTGTTGACGTTATTTTATTTTCCTTTTTATTCCGTCACTAGGTGACCGATGTTGCTGATGCCTTGATTCTAAATCGTCTATTCAGACATTTATTTAGCAATGGCCTTGTAAGTAATTTTAATGTGCGTAAACTGATTGATGGTCCAATGAGTAACTCGATAACGAAGGTAATTTTTTTTTATGTAATAAACAAAATAGATTCTTGTTGCTACTTCGAATCGAGCTCCCGATAATCTTTATGAAGGAGGACTACAAAGAGACCTGTTTCTTCCATTTATTGCTACTTTGAAGGTATGTATATGTGTGTGTGTGTGTGTGTGTGTGTGTGTGTGTGTGTGTGTACTTAATTTCTAGTTATGAAACTAACACATTTAATAATCAAGACTCTAATTCTAATGTAGGAAAGATGCATTGTTCACGAAATAGGTTCGTATGTGGACTACCGCAAAATGACATCGGTACGATTTTCGAACCTTCCTCGTTTACAGTACTTCATGCTAATTTTTTGTTTCTCGTATACGCGATATATTTTTTTTTCGGTTATATTTACGCAAATAATTGATTTTCGTTGAATTTTAGGCAGAGCAAGGTTTTTACTATATCGGCAAACATTCGTCGCTCCTTCTTAACCAAAAATTCCGACAATTAATCGGCGAAAATGTAGCTATTCCAAAAGAGGTTGAAGTTATTATGGGAAGAAAATTGCAGGTATACGAAAAAAGCCAAATTTAAATTATTAAGATTCGAAATTAAATGTTTCTTTCTCAAATTCGATTTTATTCGTAAGATCCCGTTTAGTGCCACCGGATGCGCGTACTTTCGTTTCGAGGAACTTTGTGATAGGCCTCTTGGAGCTGCTGATTATTTTGGTTTATTCAGTAAGTCATTTCTTAATACAGAGCTTTACATTTTCCAGCAGATATTAGAAATAAAATGTATTAGTAATAATTTATTTTTGTCCCTTTTTGGTCAGAGAATTTTCATACGTTGGCTTTGGAAGGCGTGCCGATTTTCGGGTTCTCCAATAAGAGTGCTGCATATCGGTTCGTCACGTTAGTTGATGTTAGTCCTTCTTGCTCTTCATGATACTCATAGGATTACGGTAGAAATCGAACGGATCAGAATGAAATTGACGCTTTTGGAAAGATTCCAATTGTTTTCGGAACTGAAAAACTAATTCCAATTTCGTTCCAAAAAAATCGAAAGAATAAAAAAATTGAAATTTCAGAAATTGGAATGGAATGTCGAAAAATTTCGGATCGGAATGGAGGGAATCCAGAATTTTCAACTTTTTAGCGACATGTAATATAAAATACATAATAATATTAATTACTAATTTTCGTAAAAGAAAAAAGCGGAATTCTTGGAAATATTTTCGGAAATAAAATTCGGATTGGAAACCGGAATCTAATATGTATTTCAATTCCATTCTTAAAAAAAAGGGAAAAATATTCATATCCTATAGGGGTGGAAATTGGAAATTTTGGAATTCGGAGTGAAAAATATTTTTTCCAAAATCGGAACTATTCGAATCAAAATCGGAAATTCCATTCCAAATTCCAATTGAGAGGATGTACAAATTCTTCTATTATATAGTATAATGTTTTAATTTTTGCGAATGTAGGTTATGTACGAGAACCGAGCTCGATTACTGTGCAGTGCAGAGGGAACTCCATCCGAACTTTTTGACCGAATAATGACAATAACCGATGCGAAGCGAGCGGGCCCCACAAGAACGTCTTCAAGGTCAGCAAAATCAGATGTTTCCGACATTTGTGTGGACAACGAATTAGGTTTCGCAAAAGATCGTACAGTTAGTCGGTTAACAGAGATGAATAGCAGAGAGTATCTGGAGCAACATGCTGAAATGCTGCTAGCACAGAAGCAACGAGCTACTGCATGAGAATTGCTCGATCCGTATGTATTGTTCTCACCGAACTATAGTTCGTGCATACAGTTTTTACAGTTACATACTATCTGTTGAATAGTCGAAATGAGATAATATAAGTAATTTACGAAAAAATCGCTAAACTTCGGCTAAACTACGAAAAAATCTCACCTATCAGTAATTACCAAAATTTTCCTGATCTTGTTTCCGTATTACACCGACCTCATTACGGTGTGATTGTTTACGTAATCATTTTTTATTCTCGGAAATATTTCCCGATAAATGCCGATATAACTCTACAGAAGTCGACAGATTGAAGATAGCCAGATTGAAGATAGCCAGGCATCAGAGCCGGCCTTGGGGGTAAGCCAGGGAAGCCTTGGCTTAGGGCCCCACCCCACAAGGGGCCCCACAATTTTTTTCATAAATCAATGGCCCCAATAATTAGTTATATAGCATATTTTAGTTCTTAAATATTTTATTAGATGTTGTTTTAAACTATATGTGAATGGAATATTTTATAATCTCAACTGTTCAAAAAATATAAAGAAAGACTAGTTTAAATTTTGTAGATAATATTGTTTATAAATTAATTATATAATTACTTATATAGTATGTTATTAATATCCAAATGTATATGCCAATTTTTTTTAAGATTATAATTAAATCTTAAACCAAACATCCATATCACATAAAGATTGAAACGAACTGTTGTCAATTGAGGCGAACAATATAATGATCAATGTATGTACTTTTAATAATTTTGATCAACGATTGTTTTTTTCCCTCCCGGTAGTGTGTTGTTTATGCATGTAATATAGATGCATATATCATTATGTCATCAAATGTTTTTACAATGCCAACAACATTAAGGTTCGTATTTGATATATTTCAAATTCATATTGTTATTATCAATAAAAGAGAAAAAGAGTTTGTTTTATTAAATAAGATATTTGTTAAAAATGTTTACCAATAACAATATAATTTAGATACTATTAAAAAAAACCAAAACGATAATGTTAAACTCCGCTTAGGGCCTCAAAATTCTCAGGACCGGCTCTGCCAGGCATGATGTTTTAGAAAAATAGGTTATTGTAGGAGGTATACCAAGGTCACCTATATTTAAGATGCTACTCTTAGGGGTAGAATTGGCATTTTTGTGGAATATTTTCTAAAAACAAAAAGATCACGGGAAAATCACACTGTAAATGGGTCGCTGTAAGACAAACAAATATTAGAGGGATTTTGATAATTACATATAGGTAGGGGTATGTTTGTAATTTAGCATAACTTCACGAGTTTTCGTGATTTACCCTTGTGAATAGAGAAGAGTGAGAACTTTGTCAGACGGAGTTTCACATTGTAAAGGGGTCGCCGCAAGACAAACAAATATTAGAGAGATTTTGATAATTACAGATAGGGAGGGGTATGACTTTATTTGCAACACGTGTGAAAATGTGTTTCTCAAGCTAGGGAAATTTCCTTAATGCTTTAAACTCTTATTTTATCATTAATTTATTTAATATTGTGAGTCATGTGTTAATAAGGAATTTTTTTGACAGAATTTCCTTATCACACAACTCTTATTCCTTATGTAATATTGAATACTAACTTAATGAGCTCTAATCTTTTGTAGGGCTCTTTTATTCAATATAGGGAGTATAAATATAGGAGCACCAGCGTGTTTTTACGACTGTCCCTTTTGTGAGAGAGATAAATAATTTTCTGCTCTTTTTCGCTTTGGTTGTTCCTGATATTTGATTCTATTCAAGAAGAAAAATATAATTCAAGGTTTGCTTCTTTCACGTGAAAAGAAGATCGGTTCTTCGGGAGGGGAGCTTAGAAGATCTCGGGAGGAGGTCGATCCACCGACTAAGGGATTCAGCGTTGAAGGGATTTCAACCGTGCGGAGCAAGGGACGTGTTGCAAAGTTAAGATCTAGAATTAAGTGTAGTATACATTGACAGCGTCAACAAAGAGGGAGTCTTTATATTTTGATTAAGTCCTACTATTGTATTCGTAAAACTAAAAATTAGTAAATTTCATTTGCAGGTCCCCGTGGATGTAGGGTACAATTGTATCCGAACCACTTTAAAATTTGTGTCTTTTTATTACTGTTTCATTAACTGTTACAATTCTTCGTAAAACAGTATCTGAAACTGAATCTGAGATTTATCCGACACAAATATATAATTAATTTGCACGAAATAATTATAACATTTAGTATCAGAGCCTGTCACTAGATACATCTAGTGAGATTTTGGGAACTAATAACTCTTATTTTGTGCAAATATGAACACTCAACGAGAAGGAGGTTCAACTACTCGTCCACCTCTCCTAATCGGCTCCAACTACTCATACTGGAAATAAAAAATGAAGATGTTCATCAAATCCATAGATGAGAGAGCATGGCGTGCCATCATAACTGGTTGGACACCTCTAATGATCAAAAGAGAAGACAAAGTGGAAATGATCAAACCAGAAGCTGATTGGAGTGATAGAAAGATATTACTCGCAAACTACAACTCAAGGGCCCTAAACGCAATCTTTAGTGGCGTGGATGATAATCAGTTTAAACTGATAGCATCATGTGAATCTGTAAAAAGAGCTTGGGAAATTCTCCAAGTTACGAATGAATGTCAACTGTTTGGACTTCCAAGTTACAGTTGGTCACCAGATATGAAAATTTAAATATGGAGGAAAATGAGACGATCACTGACTTCCATGCTAAACTATGCGATATCTCCAACGAATCATACGCACTCGGTGAATCTTACTCAGAAAGCAAATTAGTGAGGAAATCAATGCGTTCATTATTTGAAAGATTCGCTTACCGAATTGCTGCTATAGAAGAAGTCAGAGACGTTGACACGCTCAAATTAGACAAACTCATGGGGAAACTTCTAGCACAAGAACTCAATCATGGTGAAAATCATCGTGAAAAGCCTAGAGAAAAGAAGATAGCCTTTCAAGAAGAAACTTCACATGCATCTCCACAAAATCCGTCAACTCAAGAAGATGAACAGACGGTTGAAGAATCCTTGGCACTACTGTCGAAAAACTTCGGGAAATTTCTCAAAAAGATCGGTAAAAAGGGGAATTCTCCCAACACAGGAAAACCTTGAACTTTCAAAATCCTAGGAGAAACTCAAATCAAGACAACTCAGAGGATTCAAAACCAAGAATACAATGCCGAGAATGTGAAGGTTTTGCTCACATTCAATCAGAATGCGCAAACACCCTGAAGAAAAAGAAAAGAATGTCACTTACTACTGTTTGGAGCAATGAAGAAGAGTCTGATGACGATCAAAGAAACAACGATCTGGTCACCAACTTTGTAGCATTCAGTAGCAAAGTCCCTCTGAATAGCTCAGAATCAACTGTTGAAATTGTCTGTGAAACAAAATCCATGTATGAAATTGTGTGTTCTTCTTTTGCAGAGGATCCAGTCAACATGAGTGATGAGGAAGAACCAACCTTGGAAGAAGTAAATGAGGTATACGCAAAAATGTAGGCTTGTCGTTGTTAAGGTAAATGACTTCTTAGAAAAGGAGGCTTGTGCTTATAGAGGAAAACAAGATACTAAAAGTAAGAATTTCTACTCTTGAGGAGAGAGTCATATCAAGTGATCAAGTGAAAAATTGTTTGTAGGCTAAACTTACTCAAACTCAAGAAGCAATTGCAAAATTGAACACGGGTATAGGTAATTTAGATGAACTTCTAAATAACAATAAACCAAATTATAATCGTCTAGGCATAGGAGCAAGTCAGCTGCCCAAAGTTGATTGAAAACAAAAAGAAGATCATAAGAGAAAGATCCACTTTGTTAAACAAACTCCTGTCTCATAAACAGTTGTGACTGTTGGAGCAACGGCGCTTCATTCAAAGAAAAGGTTTATTCCTATTTGTTTTTTCTTTCAAAATCCAAGTCACATATGTCCTAGATGTTTTAAATACTTAAAACTTGTAAGAAAACTAGTGGCTCGCTCTCTGTATTCTGCTAGGACTGGGTACTCACCTCCACCCCCACTAAAACAAAAAAACAAAATTGATATTTCAAATAGGCCTCAGCAAAAAAACTGTGTTGAAAAGTCCACGTTTAAATGTTTATCTGTCATTACTTCCGTAAAAGCAAGTACTGCTAATGAGTGGTATTTTGACAGTGGTTGCTCAAGACATATGACCGGTGTTAAAGAGTTTCCGAAAAACTACCAACAAATCACCGGTGGAGCTGTTACCTGTGGAAACGGAAAAAATTGTGAAGTACTAGGGAAAGGATCTCTAAATCATGAGAATCTGCCAAAGCTGAAGAATGTACTACTCATAGAATAACTCACGTCAAATCTGATAAGCATCAGTCAGCTATGTGATCAAGATCTTGAAGTCAGATTCAACAAATTCGCATGTCGAGTCTTAGACAAAGATGAGAATTGTGTTATTCAAGGAACCAGATCATGTGACTGATATATTCTAGTATCTACTGGTGTGAACTGTTTCAACAGTTCATCAGACACTACAGTGCTATGGCACAAAAGGTTAGGACATCTGGAATTTGATAATCTGATAAAAATTCTAGCAGTGAGTATGTGAGAGGTCTGCCCAAACATACTAAAGAAGTAGGAAGAATATGTGGTGATTGAAAAATGGGTAAACAAATCAGAAGTTCACACAGGGCTTTAGCTAATGTTAGAACCAGCTAATGTTATAACCAGCACAAACTTAGAACTTCTACACATGGACCTTATGAGACCAATGCAAGTAGAAAGTATAGGTGGAAATGGTACATATTTGTGTGTGAAGATGATTTTTCCAGATTTACATGGGTAGAATTTATTAGGAAAAATCTGATTCTTTTGATGTTTAAACTTTTGTGCAAAAATGTGAGTGTTTGAAAATAGCGTGACATTGAGAGAATTTGGAGCGATCATGGGAGAGAATTTGAAAACTCTTTATTTTCTGACTTTTGTGAAAAAATTGGAATATCTCATGAATTTTCTGCACCTAAAACACCTGAACAAAATGGAGTGGTTGAACAGAAAAATCGTATTTTGCAAGAAATGACCAGGGTCATGATGAACGCAAAGGAGATTGCTCCTCGATTTTGGGCAAATGCAGTTAACACTGCATGTTCTATCATAAATCGAGTTTATCTTCGACCAGGTACCACTAAAACTCTCTACGAAATTTGGAAAGGTAAAAAACCTCAACTCAGC